CTTCTTCATGTGCTGGTTGTCTTATTTTCGGTTTGCTCGCGTACCGTTTCCCTGCACTAAGTTGGCCGTACAAAAGCGTATGAATATTTACGTCGAATTCATTCGGTAAACATACGTGCATAGATTGGCGTCATCCGTGTTTAATGTCAGTTCGAATACAACCTATGCACGTGCGTTCATTCAATATTAAGTGTGAGCTGTCACAAACTGGATAGAGACACATTGGGCATCCTGATCAATTGTACGACAAAGGTGTATGGGTTTCGTTTGGAGGTCAGGAAAACAACCACTTTCGCACGCATGACAATAAGTACCCAGTACGAACTATTGCTCTTTTCGTCAACATTTAGACATGACAGCCTTAAACCTTGGGAATCCCTAGTTGAAAGAACCCGATATAGCAATAGTGAAGCAATTGCTAGGTAGGATGATAACTAAACTACTGGTACAGTGAAATAGTGTGTACTTAGGCGTTGCCCTCTATATGTACAGTCTGGGTTGCTTAGTTGATGGGCAGATGACCGCACAGCGTGCGAATACGATGCAGTGACCACTTCTGTCTCTCTGTGGCTCTAGCCTGTTCATACATCTGCTGCGCCAGGAATGTTCATCTACTCAAAGAACAACTGATGCGCACCCTTTGCTACTGACAGGTGACATCAATTAAGTCCTGTTGCCCACTGTCAAACATGCGACCTTCCACAGTGTTGGCAATTTTGTGTAAATACCGAAGTACACAACCCCTTGTACCTACCGACGTGTACTCTACTTGTCCGTAAGTTATTTGCTAACGATCTACATCGCACGTCTTCGGGTGCAGTCATTCGGTGCTCCTGTAACGATTGACGCTGCGCTTCGTTTCCTTTCAGACATAATATACTACCACATCTACGTACCATTCCCGTTAGGGTCAACATTTTACTTAGTCCAACCAAAAGTTTGTCCGTGTGCCATGGTAGGCGTCGCTGCGCGTCTACCTTCCATCCGTTTAGTACGTGTGTTTTCATAAGCTCCGGTAAATTCAGTATGGCTGAGGGACAACTGCATTTATAACTATGCTCACTCACATCACTAGCCTGCGGAGTAGCACATGAACTGGTGACATTGTGCTCACCACTAGTCCGTCTCTTTTCGGTAATGTCTCTTATCGGTATTGGCCAGGGTGCCCAGCCCTAGACAGGAGGACGATTAGGGTACTCAGTCAATGCCTTTGGCTCAAAAGTCTCTCCGCAAGGCAGCGGGGAGGTGGCAATGATTTGGTTATACAGAAATGGACGCCATCCGATTTCAAGCGCTCAAGCTTGAGGACCGGGATTCTGAGTTTGTCTAACCTCTCACCATTGGCCAACCTGTTAGAGGTAGCTCTCAAGGTGCCCGGAGGCATCACCCAGTATAGCTCAATGGGTCAATGAGGTACGCAAGCTGTCGTACCACTTTAACTTCCAGTCTCTTTGCGTCTCCCAGCAAGGACTGCTTGTACACGATATGTTGGAACTAATTGGACGGACTGGGCTTGATGCGGTTTTGTGTTACTTCTATCAGTAATTCAGCGTTCGCCGTTCTCTGGTTCAACGACACTCTGAATTAGGAACGCCCACTGTATAATCCTATAGATCCAGCATCAATTGTAGTTGAATTTGCCCAGTACTATAGTATCCCGCAGCTCCTATTGCAATTGCGACAATCCTAGTGCAATACTGCCTAAAAGTAGTTGCGTCAAACAAGCACTGATTCGAAACCAAATGGGATGAAAAGATTCCTTCCTCCTGCTTCCTACATACAAGTGAACAGAAGAACACCAGCTTGTGGATTTTCAGGTTGTCAGCTGGAAGTAAACTTTGCATTTCCAGAACCCTCTGGTAGCGTACGACCCAGGGTTGATCGTGCCGTGATCCTTCGGGTAGTGCTTAGTAATGTGCGTAGCCTAAGGAACAAGGTATACTAGGTGGCTCTACTTGTAGACAAATCTGGTCCGACATACTTTGCCATCACCGAAGCGTGGTTGTCCCCGGAAATCACGGAAGGTGAAGTAAGTTTACCCGGATACGCACTGCTTAGGTAGCATCGCTCCGTTGGCTGCCAAGGTGGGGGCGTCGCTATTTATGTGCGTTGTAGATGATGTGCTGAGGACCTGTGGTTTCCATTCGTCGAAGCAAACTGTTGAAGCCCTGTCTACTATTGTGTGTACTTCCTCTGCTCAGATTACAATTGTAGTTGTATATTGAAGTCCTGGAAGTATCTCTATGGAGGCTAACGAATTTATTCGTACTCAGGCTGTCGATACGTGTCTAATACTGAGTGCCTTCAACCTCCCTGAAGCCTACTGAGCTCATCTATCCTGCAGTTCGGCGGTGGGCATTTTCCGTTCGGATCTTCTCGAGCTAACATTACAACTGCCTTTGCAGCAGTTCGTGGACAACCCTACCAGGCATATGAGCATCCAAATCCGTCTACCTTGCATCTCATTTTTGCGAATTCACATGGTTTCGTAAATGCTACTACCTACGGCGGTCTGCTGAGGGACAGTGCCCATGTCTGCATATCCATTCGATGTGCCATAACTAAGTGTCATTAGGCTACCGCTGGCGAGCAGACCATAACGCAATGCGAGACAAAGCTTCGGTTCTGCGTTGTACGATCAACTTGGTTGACACCGTTGAGACAGCCTGGAAGAAAGATAAGGCATACCGCAAAGCGATCTCTGCTCCCCACATGGTACTCAGTGAGAAAATTGTGACACGGACGCAGCGTCTTTGGATAGATCATGCAGGTAAACACCTGCGCAGGAAGCGCTCTAAGTGCTGGCAAACTTCTCAAGCGGCTTCATCAACCAGCACCTACCAAAGCTATCAAGCGGTTAGAAATAAATGTAAACATCATCCTAGAACTCTTCGTCTTCAGTACGAGGCGGATTTGTCTAACGCAGCCGTAACAAATCCAAAGAAGCTTTTACCTCACGTGCAGAGACGTAGCGGTACAAACTCGTCTATACCGGCTTTACTACGAGCGGACGAGACCCTTGAACATACCGATTATGATAATGTTTGTATACGTAGCGAACAGTATAGGGGTGTGTTTTTTCGTGTGGCCTCTCTACCTCAGGTTGAGCTGGTCACAAAAGTCCCGGAGGATTTTTGCTTAACGTAAATCAGCATGTCGGAGATACAAGTGTTCGAGCTATTGCAAGGGATAAATCCTTCCAAAGATTCTGGCCCTGCTTCAGTTCATCCGAAGCTGCTGCATGAATTTGCCGCTGAGCTAAGTGGCCCTCTGACACGCACGTTTAAGATATCGCTCCAAAGCTGCGCCGTATCTTCGCAATGGAAGGAGGCAACTATCTGTCTGATTGTAAGGAGAGTGACGGAGCTTTAACTGCGAACTACCGGCCAGTAAGCTTGACAAGCGTAGTAGTTAAGTTGTTTGCAAAATTGGTTAGTGATTCTGTGCAGAAGCACCTGATTAACTTTAGGCTGCTCAGTGCGACACAGCACGGATTCCGTACAGGATTTCATGTCTGAAAAATTTACTTGTAGCTCTTGAAAGCTGGGCTGAGGCAGTAGTCAACGGTCCCGCCATCGACGTGCTTTTCGTTGACTTATCGAAAGACTTGATACTGTCTCACGTCAACGGCCCTCCTTGCAGTTGAGCTCGTATGGGAAACCTGGGGCATTCCATAAATGGGTGGCTGCTTTCAAAAAGAGGAGAGAACCTTGCGTACACGTGTGGCGTAGCCTTTCGCGTAGACAAGATGTTCCTATTGGCTTTCCGCAGGGCTCGGTTCTAGGGCCGTTGCTTTTCCCAATTTAGGTCAATGACCTACCCCAGGAGCTTGAAGTACCGTTGTTATTGTTCGTTGATGACCTCAAACTCTGGAATATTGTGCAAATCGCTGCTCGCTCTGAGGCACTTCAGCGTGCCTTGGATAGGCTCTGGGATTGGTCAACCTTATAGTTGCTGACTATAAATCAGGCGAAATATTCTGTCCTCCTCATTGTACCTGCTAGTACCTCAAGCGCTATGTAGTTGGTGGACGTGAAGTCCTTCGTGCCACTCAGCAGGTTGGTCAGGGTATCACCCACATCTCTTAGTTTCACTCTGGGGACAATTGGAGGAAGGCTGCTTGCAGAAGGTTCCGTATGCTGTGGTTTATTCGCCGCACACTCGGTGTCCTAACGGCAACTATCTTTGTCAAGCTGTTCTCAGCTTTCATGCGACCCCACAGAACACTGTATCTAGGCTTGAGCAGCTTATTTTGTAAGGGACAAAATGGAAATGGAGAGGGTTTTGCTAGTGGGTACAAGGTTAGTGCGGGGCTTAAGGGGCAAACTTATCCCGAACGTTGCTTAGCTTGGGTACGTACTCAATGCACTACCGCAGAATTGGAGGAAACTTCATCCTGACTTACCGTACCTTAACGGGTAAGATCGGTCCAGACTTGTCCTGGCTATTTAGTTCCGCCAAGCTACCAAGTCTCCGAGGACACCCGTTGCAGCCGCACAAACTGCGTTCTGAACGGCTACGGACGGAAACTCCCTTGTCGCGCCGTTATTAAACGTTGGAACTGGCATCCATAACACACTGTTAGGGAATCTACGGTTGTGGGTTTTGAGCCTCAGCTAGAGGCTTTTGGGTGGCAGTACCAAACCTTCCACTTAGTCTAACCGAATTGTATATTCAACTTTGCCGTCGTTTTAGTTAAAGTTGCTTTTCAGCGCTTGGTATTAGCATTATTTAGATGACACTCCTCTTTTTTCATAGCTTACCCTTCACTCTTCTACTTCACCTAAACCGGCCTGGCAGGGACTGCTGAGCAGGAAAATATGGGCAGTAATTGGTTGGACAGGGTGTGATGCAGTTTCTGTTTTAGGCTATCCAACCTCTCAAACAGATATACCAATTCTTGGTTTAACGATACGCACAACAGGAACCTTCATGGGATTATCCTATCGTTCCGGTCCCAACCAAAATTGAACTACCATAAAATGCTTCCGCTCTTAGGTCACCATTCGACCTTGAAAGTAGCAAGTTTTTCTCCCGTTTATGTATGCCTTTCTACTCTGTAAGGGTCGGACGGTCGACTGGCGTTTTCAGTGAATGGTTAGGTTGGGTCTGTTATACTACGGTTACAGGTCTGAATGTGAATCAATGGTAAAAGGATTTGCAGGTGCTCAGTTTAAAAAGTTTCGCACGTTTGCCGAAGCGGAAAGGTTCTGCAGTAAGTACGTATGATCTCTCATTTAGCCCATCCTAAGGAAGCACGGAATGCAAAACTCCGGCTAAACAACCCACTTGTAAGTACTGGCTTTCCACTGCATTATATATTTTCTTACTTCAATTCACCAAAACTGCCGAGTATCACACCTGGCAGTGTTCATCTCTCTCTTCCTCGCTTCACCTAAACCGACCTGGCAGACTGCTGGGTATGAAAAATGGGCAGTGACTGGTTGGCTAGGGTGTGGTGCACTTTTGGCTTTAGGCCCATCAAACTTCCCGTTTAACGGTACTCAGGAGAAAGAACAATTGGGGATAATCCTATCGTATCGGTCCCAGCTGGAAATCAGACCTAAAGGTTCATGTTCTCAGGACCATTAGTGATGGTGATTCAGCAATGGTCTGGTGTCCGCTCCATGACGGTTGCAAACCCTTCACTGTCGGGGTGGTGTACAAGCTGCCATCGAGTAACGGTCCCCCTGTTCTGGACTCAGACAAAACTTAACGGCGAGGTAGGAGCTGCCTAATTGTGGGGATTTTTATGCACTGGATGTCGACTGGAATCTACTCAACTGCAGGCTCTCTCATGACTGTTTTGAAAATGCTCTTAGTGCAGTTCTATTGGCAAACCTATTGCAGCACTTCTCTGCGCCTACCAGGATAATACCGTGTCATCCACTGCGCATATTAGATCTTGTGCTGACACCAACACTAGCTGACGTCTCCGATCTGAACTCTCTTCACCAGTTAGCCATAGTGATAATAGCACTCTTCACTTGACCGCATTACTTAGTCACTTAGCGATCTCCTTTGGGTTATTCCTCTGTCTCTTCGATTTATTGCTGAGTGGAAGCGCACTTATGGCTTCCAAGTGCATAGATTGTGGCAAACGGATCTCCTCTCGATCAAAGGCAGTGCAGTGTAATCGGTGCAATGGATGACTGCACATAACGTGCTGTAAAATTGAAGCTGACCTATACAAATGCTTGAAACGAACTGAATCCCTAGTTATCAATGTGCACTATGATGTCTGCCGACGTTTGGTGAACAACAAGCCTGTTTTACCTAGTCTCACTCCACATAACTTGCGCTTGACGCCAGCACAATTAGATACCGTTCCTGATGAAATAGCTGCATCTTCTACTTTGTCGTCACCTTCAATTACCTCTGCTACCGCTGCTCAAACTCGATGGCATGCCTCTTCCAATTTATCGGCCGAAACTATCTCAAACTAAGCATCACAAAGATAAGAAAGCTGCTAGGACTGAACTCATGACGAAGACCTGTGCGGCCGTGACAGGCATGAATGTTGCTGAGGCATCTGACGCCGACCATGTTCCAAAGGGAACTAAAAAGAAGACAGGCTCAAAACATAAAACAACTCGTGTCCACGCCAACTCAAATGAAACTCGTTTTAGCTAAGGTTGTTTAGTTGCAAATGCTGATAAAAGACAAACCAGTTCCACTAAAGCCTGAAACCCTTGGAAGTAACAGAGCCCCTCGTGACCGCTGCCTAATAGTTATAAATGTTCCCGAATCCGATAAAGAGACCTCGGCTGAGAGAATTCTCGACGACCAAGCTTTTTTAAACGAATGGTATCCCGCCTATTTGACGAAGGCGAACAGGGTATCAAAATCGTGTCTGCTTTTCGCTTTGGGAGAAAGCGTGCTAATCCATACAAAACCCGTCCCCTTAAAACCCTCTTCCGGGATGAAAAACAATGTCCTCGCATTCTTAGACACACCTCACACTTAAAAGGTGAAACATACTATGTCATGAAATACCTTTTTCCTGAAGATCGAATCGGAATTAAACGAGCCGTCAGCAACCTGCGAAGCTGCCGAACGAACAGCGAAACTGATCTACATATTGCATTTTCGGGTGGTACGCAAAATCCCAAGAGCTATCGCAAAGAGACTGGACTTTAACGTGATGCGACGGTTTGCGTACCTCATCGACCCATTGAGCTATACTGGGTGATGCCTCCGGGCACCTTGAGAGCTACTTCTACCAGGTTGGCCAATGGTGAGAGGTCAGACAAACTCCGTCTCCTGGTCCTCCAGGTATGGGGTTTGAAATCGGATGGCGTCCATTTCTGTATAACTAAATCATTGCCACCTCCCCGCTGCCTTGCGGAGAGACTTTTGGGCCAAAGGCATTGACTGAGTACCCTAATCGTCCTCCTGTCTAGGGCTGGGCACCCTGGCAGTCTCAGACTACATACAACCATGCCATTTTCTTCAAACATAAACTTCATCCTGCATCGGCCATCGCACAGATTATCAAGGGTCGCCTTATCTGCGGCATACAGCAGGGCGGATAAGCGAAAACCTGCTGCTGCTGGCGCCTCTCTTCTTTCTCTCCCCTTTTTCTCTTACTCCCATCCCGACCCCCATTACTAACCTTCCTTCTATTATTCCCAGCTTAATTGACAGCAACCGAAGTGCCACTGGAGTAGAACCATCTGCAGCCACCATCTCACCACACCTATCGGACGCCTATCGGCAAAAGTCCCTTATAGGGCCACGCTATCCCGTTTCCATGACGACATGCAACGTCCGCACTCTAAGACAAACAGGTCAACAGGCTGTACTCACACGTACCTTGGACACACTGGGTATTGGTGCGTGTTGTGTATCCGAAACTAGGATCAATGACCCTAACGGAGTTATTGAATTAACTGCACCCGGCTTATCCTCTCGTTATTGGTTGCACGCATCCGCAGACGCCGATGCCGCACTCACGAGTCAAGCTGATGTAGGTATCATTCTAAGCTCCAAGGCCGAGTCATCCTTGGTTGATTGGATTCCGGGGAACAGCCGTTTATGTGCAGTTCGTTTGACGACATCAGCTAAGGTGGAGTCACGAAGTAGTACAAAACGCTGTTTGCTCGTGATTTCCGCTCCCACCGACTTCAGTTCAGATGTTGTCAAAGACACATTCTATCACGAACTGAATGCGCTATTACGCTGTGCTACTAGTTCAGATGGTATAGTATTTGCAGGGGATATGAACGCACAAGTAGGGCGCCTGTGCTACTCAGAAGCTCACCTAGGTGGTAAATGTGGGCTTAACTCCGAGTGGACTGACAACGGTGAGCGTCTGCTGCCTCCGTCGGAGGCCGAGGTCCGAAAGCCGATCATAGCCCTCAATCGTTTTCGTGTCGCTGGCCCGGATTCCCTCCCACCTGCACTATTTAAGGATAGAGGTGAGGTCCTCTGCAAAGAACTGACGTCCCTATTCGAACGCATCTGGAAGGAAGAAAGTATCCCGGCTAATTGGAGCGAATCGATTATCGTGGCAATATACAAGAAGGGCAGTCGCACAGACTGTTCTAACCACAGAGGTATTAGCCTAACGCCAATTGTGACAAAAGTATTGGCCTCGCTTATCGTTCGCCGCCACACTACGGAACGGGAATCTCGGATTAGGGAAGAGCAGGCTGGTTTCCGCTCAAGACGTGGCTGTATAGACCATATATTCACTTTGCGGCAGGTTCTAGAGCAGCGCCACGCATACCGCAGACCAACAATGGCTGTGTTTCTCGGTTTCAAGAGTGCGTTCGATTCAGTCGATCAATCGATTCTGTTCGAAATACTTGCACGGAAAGGTGTTCCCATGAAATATGTGTATATTCTTCGTGCTCCATACTCGAACACTACAGGCCGCGTCAGGGTCTACGGTGTCCTATCGGTTAGCTTTCCGACTACTAGTGGCGTTCGTCAGGGTTGTCCGATTTCCCCATTTTTGTTCAATTTCGCCGTGGATTCTATCATGGAGTGATCACTTGGGGAATCTCACGATGTAGGCGTTGAAGTGCTGCCTGGTGAAAGGTTAGTTGACCTACATTATGCGGACGATATCGTCTTGCTTTTCGGCGATGTCGGGGCGGCACAGTCAACTTTTAATAGTCTGTCCAGTGTGGTCCCATTATTTGGTATGCACTTCCCACCTTCAAAGTGCAAAGTGTTGCTGTAGGAACACTAGCCACCTGATGCCTCCTTGACGCTTGTAACGAGGAAATCGAGCTGGTTGATCATTTCACTTATCTTGGCAGCTGCATCAGCAATAATGGGCGCATAGAAACTGACGTCAGTTCACGCATTGCAAAAGCCAGAGCTGATTTCTTGAACCTGCGGCATCTTTTTCGACAGAAGGGAGGCTTCCTTCATCTGAAAGGCCGAGTATACAAGGCCCCAGTGAGTGCCGTTCTGCTCTATAGGAGTGCGACTTGGCCCCTTCAGTCTGACGATCTGATGCGCCTTCAAGTCTTTGATCATCGTTGTCTCCGAAACATTGCTGGTGCAAGATGGCACCAGCGTGTCCGCAACGATGATATTCCTAGGCGAGTACTAGGTGGTGATAATCATGCTAGTTCCCTAGAACAACAGATTGCACTGAAAAAGTTGCTTTGGCTAGAGCACGTGCTACGTATGCCTGATCACCGCTTACCTAGGAGGGCCTTGTTTAGTCTGCCAGGTGTAGGGTGGTACAAGGCTCTCGTTGGACATGTTAACTTGGCAACGGGAAATGAAGTCACTGACGACCAAACTGGGTGCCGTTGGTCCGTCTCGCCTTCCGGGCTGCAGTCCACGTGACTCGCCTTGTACTTGGCTAGAGACTTGACAGAATATGGCTCGCAACCGACACCAGTGGCACGTCTTCTGCCGTCTCCTAATCGGATCGCCTGTTTAAAATATGCTTGGGCGTGAGTTATCTGCGGGGTAGTGGCTGTTTATGCCGCGTGGCAGTGAAAGCCGCAAGGAAGCTGTCTCGCCGATGCCTCCTTATCTTTGCACGATAGCCAGCTGTTTGTGACGGTATGTTGTCTACACAAGTTGTATGCGCCTTGACCCTGAATGTTTGCTTAGGGCATTGAGGTTTTCATGTAAGTCCCCCTTCTCTCCCTCTTCTTATTCTTCATTTCCTAGGTCCTCATGGTTGTATGGCAGCGAAGCATCAGTGCAAATGGTGGATGTACTGCTGTTGATGATGATGGTGATGAGGATGATGAAGAGCCCGTTAGAAGCCATTCTTTTTGTTTCCCAGCACCCATGATGATGATGACGATGATGATGA